CATCATAAGACCTCTCTTCAAACCAAAGTGACATCATCCACCACCTCAAGATAACTTCATGCGTAATGGTAAATCACATCCGACATCAGCTCCAAATCTAAAGGATTTCATCAGATTCAGTGCTGCCACAGGGTTCAAAGGGAAGGAAGTCTACAGACGAATGAAAGTATCAGCTATACTCCACATGACACTGTTTTGCAGGTTCTAGCAGTCGGTTTAAGGTAACAATCACTAGCAAGTTCATCTAAGATAAATCAATTAAAGGAATAAAGCCTTAAATCAGATTTTCATCATATTAACACTCAATTTCTAGCAATAAGGATACTACATGTAGCACATGTTTTCTAGGCTACAATTGATTGATGAAAATTAATTGTATGGTCATTATATTATAGAGTGAAAAGATAGAGAGAAAGACAGCGATAGCTACTTTTACTAGTTTACAAGTTAGAAGTGTTTTTAATCTATTTTCCATTTAGTTCAGATTTATTACTAGTCATCATAATAGAAATAATTTATTTAGGATGAATTTCTTTTTTTGATATAGCAGAAAGATAGCAAAATAATTAATTTTACAAGTCATCATTATGGTAGGTAGTTATTTTAGTATGAATTTCTCTTTTCATATGGCAGGGAAATGGCAAAAGAATTAATTTCACACAGCTGGCCAATGTCCATGAGCAATGTTCTTGTATTTAACTCTAACCAATACTCATTTTGCTACGTAGACTGTACTTCCATAGAAGGGACCTTACAACAAACCATGGGATTCTACATCTCTACCCTAATGAGAAGCCCATCATAAGACTTCTCATCAAAACAAAGTGACATCATCAACCACCTCAAGATACTTTCATGCGTAATGGTAAATCACATCCGACATCAGCTCCAAATCTAAAGGATTTCATCAGATTCAGTGCTGCCACAGAGTTCAAAGGGAAGGAAGTCTATAGACGAATGAAAGTATCAGCTGTACTCCACATGGCACTGTTTTGGAGGTACTATTAAGCAGTCAGTTTTTACTTTTTAGATCATAATCTCAATTTTGTCGTTGTTGTTGTTGTTTTAGGTCAATTTCAGTAACGTGTGACTGTCAGGAGACAGTATCTCTCCCGGGGTATCGACCAGCCAGTGGCAGATTTAGACTATTTTTTAGTTTGAGTTTGAGCAAGTGCTAGTAATTCCTTGGTTTGAGAGGGGGGGGGGGTAGGGGCACCACAACAAAATATTTGAAAATCTTGCCCCAGCCCTGCCAGACTCTTTAAGTACATGTGGTAGGCACGGTCAGGTATATAATTGAGTATAACATTTTCACTGGAGAATAATTGGTTATCATTAAATGTTAGGAACTTTACAACGAGAGGGTACAACATCGCCCTTAATTGTGCCCAGATTAAGATCATTAACCCCCTGAATTTGCCAATGTCATATAGAGAAGGATGAGTAATTCTGGCTCCCTTACAACTGAATCATAGAGGCTGTTCACACCGGCAGAGATAGCGCGCGCTAGACCGCGCTATCTCTGCGGTTTGGAAGGTACAACGTCGTTTCGGTCCGCCCAACAGCGAGCCACGGCGAGCCAACACTGGAGCACCTCTTGGGGGTGGTCCACGAGAGATAGCGCGGGCTAGCGCGCGCTAGAAAAAAGGGGGTGCTACGATAGACCGCGCTATCTCATTGCGGTGTGAACAGCCTCATAGAGAATATATAGTCAAGTGCTACATCTGTCATACTATCATTGTCAAAAAGGGGTTAACAATGACAGATTAATTGTCTATACAATGATGACACATTTAGAACTGACCAAATTTGGGTCATTCTGGTAATTCACGCCTTGAGATATTTTAAGGGTGACCTTTACATTTTGAATTTGTAATACCATTAGTGATATTAATTCATGATCACATATCAACAAAGATAAGTCAATATGAAAAATCTGATCAACAAATTATTCATAGCAGGTTCAAATAATGGCTGGTAACCAGGGATTAGCCCTGCAGGGCTCTACACTAAACAGGCACCTTGGACATACATGTATGGGCACCCACAATCTAAATCCGCCACCCCCCCCCCCCAAATTTCAAATAATTTACATACTGTACAATAGGCCAAGTGCATGCATTCTCTAATAAGATATATCTGGACCCCCTTCCAAAACAAAGTTAGTGTGGAGCCTGAGGTTAAGATTAGAAAGTTAGAAACATGTACATGTATAAATGAAATTCACAGCTCAGTCATATGGCTCTGAATCCCAAGCCATGGCATCATTAAAGGAAGCATTTCATCTATCACACATGTATCAAACATCCAGCTAATGTCTGCAGGCCATTCATATGATCCACCTACATTTATAGAGACACAATTAGGTATATGTTCAAACGGGACCATCATAGTTTTTAAACTTTCAAAGTTTGTGAAACCTCAAAGTTATTATAAATAAACTAAGCTCCATTAACAACTACAAGAATTCAAACAGGATCAAAAACAAGTATTCAAAGTGATCAACTAAACTAAAAGCTGGTCAAGTGGTCATTTGAACTACAAGCTGATATTATCTCTAAGTTGAGTGCGTCTGCACGTACTTTCCATCACGCTAGCCTAAAGATCGCTCGTACATTTCAACTTCAAGTAAACTTTGAGATTCCTAACCAAGAGTGCGTCTACAGTGTACATGGTCCATAACAAGACGATAACCTCAAAGTTTAAAACCATGCATGACTTAACTTTAAGTTTACAGACTGCCACATGAACCTAAAGTGACTACAATCATACCCTACAAACTCATTTTACTCCTGACCGTTTCATGCCGACTCATTCCCAGAAATGCTCTCACATCCTGCCACACAATAAGTCGTAAAATTCAAAGGAATCTCAGAATGTCCTGAAAAAGTAGTTTCAAGGGCATAATAAAAAAGCAACTCATGCTTGTGTATCATTTATCATTTAAAAACATTGTCTTTTTGTCATTCTATGTTAAATTCTTTATTTCTTCCATATGACCATGATCCATCTTTCTTAGTCTTGTACTTTGATTATAAATGAACACTCACGCACACTCTCATCTACTACATTTAGTTCACATGCAATTTTACTTTAGACATGATATAGAATCAGTCGTAAAAAAAAAAAAGGTAAATCACCTCTGAGAACGAGGCAATTCTCAAAAACAAAAAGTGTTTGACACTGGTTAATTGGTTATAAATCACTAAAAAATAATGAATGAAAGAAGTAAAAGAACCCAGAGGGTTGGACTTCCTGAACTAAAGAAAAGTTTTGACGTAACTAATTTCATTAGGGTTAATATGCCAATAGCCGTGTGTTTAGGGGAATTAACCACTTAACAAGCTTGGTCTGTGCCCAATTTAGTGAGAAAATTATCCTTAATTGTCTTTGCTAAGTTTTCCTGGATTTTTGGCCATGGCAATAATTCAACACCTTCTGGCGAGGAAGCCCACAACCAATAAAAGCAATTGTAAACTTGCAGAGTAGGTCTAGGGTGATCAGCGATCGGTTGTAATTGGACGCTTCCTTTTCTAATCACGACAGCATTGTTCATTGCACTTCGGTTGCGACGTGCATGACACACCAGCAAACTCTCAGCCGGTCCCCCAAGCATGGTGAGGCCACTTCCATTGCTTGTTGCGTTTCCTGGGAAGCTGGGATGCTTCATCATCAAGGACAAGTTTGCACTTTAGTATATCTACTGTTAACCTGTTGACTGCTGAATTTTCTAGTTCCCATAGGCTTAATACAGGGACCGCCCGGTTCCTGTAGGCAATGGGTTCATAGTCAACATATCGTCTGTTGAGACCCAGAAGGGTGTCAGCTCTATGTATAAATACATATGTTAATGTCTTTTTTGCTCTTAGCAGAATATATGCAATTTTAATATTGAACCTGCTCATGCAGTTATTAATGTAGTTTCCATAATTGGCATTGCACAAAACTACAATGAGATTATGAGAATCAAATGGATCATAACTTATGTTCAATGGGAAAGTATTATATCCACGAAAGATGTAATTCCAAATGAGCGAGATGGACAAGAAATTGACAAATGACTACAAATTTATATGGAAATAAATAGTAGAATTGTAGAAAAGTAGAAGTAAAATTCTGACTAGAATTATTTAAAAAAAACAATACAAATGTACATCATAGTTCTGTTGATAAACACATACATGTATAACATAAATAACTAGACAAGAAAAAGAAAACTTAAATCACTATCATTAAAAAATGCTATATTTCAAGAAGGTAACTTTAAGGACACTTGAAAGTTAACTTATAAAAAATGATTTATAATAAACTACAGTAGTTGAATTAATTCAATACAACATACATGTATATATCTCTCTATGAGACTTTGTAATATAAATTGTAATGATAGTATCCGAAGGGTTAAAAAAGACCATGAAACGAAGCAAGGAGCTTATGTCCAATTGACCCAATATCAATTGTAATATCCATCCATCTATGACTGGCCAGTGAAAAACTGTCTGTTGGCCTACTCACTCAAGCTCAGTTTGTTGATCACACAGACCCCTCCCCCTGATAGCTCGGCCAGCCCCCTTTCCAACTTCACCGACAAATGAATGAGCTCGCTCGGCACAAACCCTGCCCTTTGACAAGTTGTAGACTTGATCAGAAGTACAGGAAGAGCTACAAGCGACTGGGACACGCTACCCAGAGAGAAACGTCTGCTCTTTTAGTTACAGTCTGGTATTCTCGCAAGGGGGTCTACATTGCGTCAGGAAATGCAACTAGGCCTCAGCTGACGATAATAGATTTGTGGAAACACTCCTGAAGCATATTGTAAAAGAAGATATCACAGAAGTTTACTTCAGTGCAAGCATTTGAATGGGATGTTTGAACTTTGGATCACCTGAATGTGATGATGACTACTGCCAATCTTATTCAGGATTACTTCTTATTTAATGAACAGTGACTGGCTGTTTTGAAACTTTTTCTCATAAAGACATATGAATCCACGTGTTGATTTTACAAAGTTCATGTTGAACTTCACGAAGCGGTGGTTGTAAACTTGTGCAACAGTTTGTTATTCTACTTTTGATTAAAAACCTCGCTTCACCATCACCGAATTCAGATTGTGAAGCTGTTTACTGATGACTTTAACATTTTTAGGAGCCTGAAGAGTTTTTACAATAACATTTTTGACCCCACAAATCAAGATGAAGCTATTGACATCTCTCTTGCTCCTTGTTCTGGTATACTTCTGTCAGAATGCATCTGGAAAGTTGATGTGGCGTATGAAACCGGGTGAAATTATTGCCCTTCGAGGTAACCTTGTAATGCTGAACTGTTTTGTGAATGGACGTAACATCAGCAATCCTGGAGAACACAAGTTCTGGTGGTACAGGGTGGACAGGAACGTGGTCCTCAGCAAGAACCTGATGATCACTGCTCCTGATCCTGAAAGCGATCGCTATAGTGTACTTCTGGACAAGTACAGGGGAGTATATTCACTTGTGATCAGGAATGTTTCGGAAGGTGATGGAGGCCTGTATCAGTGTCTCTTGAAGCAGTCTAGGAATGGCCCACAGGAAGCATCAGACAACGCCAGCTTGACTGTCCTAACTCCTCCGACACATGGGTACAAGCCTTGCACCATGTTCACCCAATCCAACATCATTCTTAGTCCTCAAGGGGACAGAGCTCTCAGGTGTCCCAAGTCAACAGATTCCTTCTGGAGAAGTGTCAGTTCCAACGTTGCCACCAATGAAACTGTTTACCACAGCTGGACAGCAAGCAGACACGTCCTCCACGCGTTCTTCCTGCAGAACAAGACAACACTCTTGTCTGAATCATCGACAATGGAGAACCAAGAAACCGTTTACTGTGCTGTAAACAGTTCAATGCTTCAACAATTTCCCAACAGATGCGCACTGATCCCACGTGCTACATCAACGAAAGCCACCATAACACCGCCCATCATCGACGTCTCCAATGGAGACACTGTTAACTTCACTTGCAGTCATGAAGATATTGCTGTTGCCATTGATTACACTTGGGATATCCCTGTAGAGCTTGAGGTTGCGGGTATCCAATTTGTGAGGAATGGAAGAACTATTATTCTGAAGGGTATCAAAGGAAATTGGGGCGAAATGCTGAATATTGTTTGCCAGGTTACGACAGAATGGAATGTAACAGCCAATGCAACAGCTACTATAGCCTTTTTGCATAAGATGATCACAACGCCTGTCGTGAATGCCATTGCAAAAGGTGAGAAAGTTGAGACAGGCGAGATAGGCGAGATAGGCGAGATAGGCGAGAAGCCAAATGTGATACAGCCACAACCTGTGTCACCAGATGAATCGCTCAGCCCATCAAAATCTAGCAATCCAGCCCTAAAGAATATAAGTATCTTGATTGGGCCTGCCCTTGGTGTAATTATTCTGTTTCTCCTTGCAGTCATATTTGCGCTCTGCGTCACGAAACGTAAGACATCTTCTGCAAAGCATCAGTTCAGACTGACTCACCAAATATCTCCTTCCATGGATCCTCAGAAATCAGTTACTATGAGATCTGTCAGTAGGCCTTCAAACAGGAACAGCCGATCATCCAGGCGCTTCTCAGATTCCTTCACCTACCGATTCAGCAGGGACTGTGAATATGAGAACATTGAGGCATACATGGCCAAGAAGGGACAGTTCCTTGGTGGGACAACATCCTTCCAAGATGAAAACAATCAACCGATGGAGGCAAATGTCCGGGTGAAAATTGAAATGCCCAACAGTCTCAGCTGTAGTATGCCAGCTCTGAATGGTTGTAAGATCTCATCGAATATCAACAGTCATGCAGCGAACGATGAGCATTACCAACAACAGTACAGCAATCATCAGCCACAGATCAATCACCAACCCTACAAACCCCTGGCCAATGGGAATCCCTATGCCACCAGGGAACAACTAGGGTACCCATCCTTGATCAGTCAGGAGTTTCGAGACACGCAGCATTACCATGTGCCAACGACAACATCAACGACATCGACGATGCCTCATGCCGTGATCGACAGATCAAAAAAGGCCATGAAACCACCTAGTCCACCTCCAAGGAAACCTTCTTACTGACAAGAAATTTACTGACAAGAAACTTTCTGGAAAGAAGGAGCAATGGATTGACTCTGAACTTGTCAATGTGGTGTGAATCTTGATTTGAGACATGATGTATATAATATTTGTATCAAGTTGCATTTTCTGTTCGAGTACTCTACTCTGTCTTTCAACTTGTCTGTTCTTGCATCGGGTAATTTAACCAGAAGAGGACAATTTGCTTGCAAATAGGTGGCAGTCTAGCAAATTGTGGAAGGCTTGCATTTTTCATCATTAATATGATCCTAAAATACTTGATTAAACAATCATTGACCATTAGGTTCAGTAATATTTAATATTTAGCTTTTATATATAACGCTTAATACAATGTCTCTAAGCGCTTTACAAATATACTATTACCCCGGTCATTGGATTCAGTGCTTGCCCGCACACGCTGTGTGCACAACCTCCACTCCCTGGGGAGCATTCCAGCCAGGCGTTACTCGACGCTCAAAAACTGTTTGAACAACAATGACGGTCACATCCTACCAGGTACCCATTTAACACCTGGGTGGAGAGAAGCAAGTGCAGTATATCATTACATGTACGTTTTCAGTATGATGGACTGAAACTTGTTGTTGTTGATACTTTGAAATACGAGTGAAACCCATGAGCTTTCAAATTTATCTGTTGTGGTGAGCTTTCGACTACATTCAAAAATACATGTATGACACTTCTATAAACTCCTTCAGATTATAAGGAATATGCTTTTTTTTGGTGAACTTATAAACCACCAATTTTGTCAACCTACTACTAGGCAATTCTAAGGTAATGTGCATTTTATAATTAATAAAATCCCAAACCTGATCATTTTAGTTTCTGGATAAGATTATGAACATTTGTGAACAATCAGGTAAAATGATACTCATTTGTAATTTTTTGTTTTGTTTAAAATGTAATTGTTTATCTTTCTATTTTGTTTGTTCTAGCGCTTACAGACTTCAGTGGAAAGCGCTTTATACGCTCTGCTTTATTTTTATTACTATTATATGGTGTTACATACATGGATATACAATGAAAATTATTTAGAAGTTAAGTTTTCCCTTTTTTTCAAGGTTATGAGTCATCTTTATTTTCTCCCCTTGCCTGACTTTATGTGACAAGGTGAAGGTTATAATTTATAAATGATTTCATAATGTCCTACAATCGGAGGCACACAGGCAAAATATTTTTCAAGGGGAATTGGGATTTCCAAATGTAATTCCAAGTAATGTAACATATGAGGGCTTTTAGAGGAATAACTTCCAAGAACATTTGATCCTCTGACTTAGCACTAATATCCTACTTGTCATACAATGTGCGTTAGTATAAAAATAATACATGTTTGCGAGTGCATGTAATAGTGAATATGCACTGCTTGCAGTTTACATCACAGTAGGATAATGAACAAATCTTGTCGAGTTCATTGTCCGTCTCATTGTGACTTAACCAAGTGCAGTGCATCACTAATGCACGAGCAAAAAACATGTATTATTTGTGTGATATAAATAGAAATCAAATCAAATCAAATCCAATGGGTGAATTCAAAAAATTGTATTGTCATATAAATGAAGGAAAAGAGCTACATGTATGTTCATCTTTTGTAAAGGTTGCACTTGGGAGTAATATCCCAGACAATATGCCTCGTAATTGATATATTTATCATGAAATGAGAAAGGTCGAGAAATCAAGTATGATGTAGATTTCATATCTACATGTATTACAGTATACTTTTCCTGGCATTATTAATACGGTATCATCTAGGTTGGATATTTACACATTATTGTTTAAAAGCAAATATGTAAGACGGCTTTGTTGGTTGATGCGTTGCTGTGATGATGCTGACTTTTACAAGTCTGCATGTGTTTTCTTTTTTCCTTCCATAAGTTCCACTTTCCTCTCTATTCCTCTTGCTCCTTTGCACACCATCTTAACAACATGTAGCAATGATTTGTTACGATCTCTTGCCATGCATGCCTTTGAAGTTTGAAGTTGCGGGGGCCGGGTCAGATGTTTTCAAAGTCATCTTGCTTAAAACTTAGGCTGAAATTGGAATCATATCATTTTTAATGTTCCAGATAGTACTTGGTTTTAAAAGTCTTCATCTGCACCTGTTGTCTGGGGGTTGCAGAGATTTTTTTTAAAAATGTATTTGTAGAATGACAAATCATCATTCCTAGTGGTTTCAACCACATGCCTCTCATCATGAATGTCGGTTTGGTGTATCCAAAAGGGCAATTGGTAAATAATTGCAGCCCAGAGCAGTTTTTTATTTCATGTTTTGTGTTATTTTGGTGCAGGAATATTGCAAAATTTTAAAGCCCCACTGCACTACATATACAATGTAGCTACTTGCGCCCTCTATATAGCAAACAATTAATGCCTAACAGTGACTATTGGTCTCCCATGGTCCCCTTTTGTTATGTTAATTAAGAGTTGATTTGATGATATAACCACCTGTTCAGTAACCATACAGGGAGGTCTAATCCCTCCTGGCCAAACTAGTGCAGACAGACTTTTAAAGAAATGTATTTGTAGAATGACAAACCATAATTCCTAGTGGTTTCAACCACATGCATGCCTCTCATACAAAGGGATGTCGGTTTGGTGTATCCAAAAGGGCAATCAGTAGATAATTGCAGCTCAATGCATATTTTCTTTATTTCTTATTGCTAAATTTTAACGATTAATAATCAGACCATACCATGATTATCAATGATTACAATTTTTCTCATGTATTCCCACTGTAATTTGTATATTTATGTACTTTTCAAAGAGTTTATTGGTTATACAATAAGTGTGAATAAAGTAATATATAAAACATGTCAGACTCTGGGATCTAATTTAATCATGTATAACTGTGTGAAGTCGTCGTCATCCCTGCCTAAATGACCCTAAAACTAAACAAAAAGTTGGTTCACTTTTTTAATTCTTTGCCGTTGATGGTTGAGTCTTCATGTGCAGCTGTTGTCTGTAGGCTGCAGATTTCTTTTTATATTTTACAGAATGACAAATCATCATTTCTGGTGGTTTCAACCACATGCTAGTCCATCATGGCTGTGGGTGGGTTCAGAGCAGTGCTGTATCCCAAGACTAAGAGTAGAGGTAATCTCTAATCAACTATTCGTGGCTTTTTATTTTCAGGTTTTATTGAATTGTTTTGCAGCATTCTTGATCTTGTTCAGAATCGAGAATAATTCTTGATCTTGGTCAGAATCAAGAATAATTCTTGATCTTGTTCAGAATCGAGAATAATTCTTGATCTTGTTCAGAATCGAGAATAATTCTTGATCTTGTTCGGAATCGAGAATAATTCTTGATCTTGTTCAGAATCGAGAATAATTCTTGATCTTGGTCAGAATCAAGAATAATTCTTGATCTTGGTCAGAATCAAGAATAATTCTTGATCTTGTTCAGATCGAGAATAATTCTTGATCTTGTTCTCTTAACAAGAATGATACCATTGTACATGTAGGAGCAGTAAAGAGTACAATCCTGTCTATTTCCTTTCTAACCGTTTTAATCAATATTTATTTACTTTTCAAAGAGTTTATTGGTTATAATTGTGAATAAAGAATGTACAGTATACAAACACTATTTCATCAGGGTTCAGGTTGACTGTTTCAGGATTTCATTACGATCGACTACATGTATAAAAGTATGTAAGCAAACTCTTTAAAAAAAACTACTCCAGAATCAATAACAATGGTACTCATGAGAATTATCTTGTGATGGTTAACTGAAACATGTCCCAACTTTTAAAGAATGTTACCAAGTTTTGGGAATAGCAAGAATGATAGAGCAATAGTTCAGGAGCCCATATGTGTGTAAGCATCTCTTCTGACACCCAAGATTGAAGGATATGAGTAATAACACATCATTCTTTTTTTTCTTCCATAAGATATAAAAGGCATTGACATTCAAATTGTTAAGGAGATTACTTACTCTATTACATCACACCATTTTAATGAGTCATATTATACATCAACATTCTACATACATTGAATATGTACAGTAATAACTACATAATTTATAGCCCTTGTAAATCTAAAGTTTTTGTGTTTTTCTTACCTGAACAATGCATGGTGGACTAGAAGGATTAGTTCCTTTGTTGAATATATTTAGAAACAAAAATCGAGACAAATCAATTTTTGACATACCGGTACATTAAAAATCAGAAAATGAGGTAAGGGTATGAATAATTTAGTTGTTAACTGAACATGTGAACATTGTACATCAGATAATCTTTTCTCTCTATGAAAAGAGAGAACTAAACGTAGAAAAGTGGAAGAACTTGTAATAAATTGTATGAAATTGAAGTATCTAACTTGAGGTTCAAAAACATTTCCTCTAGGTAAAGATTTAACGTACATGTACCTCTTCAACCCTTCACTGAAGTTCACTCCAGCAACTTTATTTCTCCTACACTGGTAAAGTGTAAGTGAGTGAGCCTGAGTGATGTAAGGGGAATTGTAGATGTTTCATAATGTATCAGTGCATATTTTGCACATGCAATATTACAGTACATGTTGTATATATTCTCTCATTAAAAATCTGTGTCAAGAAACTATGACATCATTTTCAAAATGCTTCAAAAATACCATCAGACTAAAACTTTCCTTGGTTGTATGCCAATTTTACTTGTCATATATGGCAGAATAAATATTGACAATTCCTACAGGGTGTTACAAAAAAAATCATAAGTTGGATTTGGTGACTAGGCATTCAAGTCAATCTTCAAGTCCCAATTACATTTCGGTCTTTTGGGAATCTGAATTTTTTACGTTGAATTTCAAAAGAAAAGCAGTTACTGGTCAGACTGTAATGTTTTGGGAGCCTGTATTTGTTGTAACCATACGCTTAAAAGCCTATATATTGCCATATCCGCTATCATCAGCTGGGAAACAGAAGGGCGTCGACTCAACGTTGGGGATATGAGTTATTGCCCTCATGATCCTCGGGAGACAATACATTGGTCAACCAGGACAAATGGACAATTTAAGCACCGTACAACCCATTTTTAGTTCTGCAAATCATTT